AATAAAACTCTAAAATAACAATCGTTATTGCTTGAAGATAATTTTATTTGAAAACGAATGGCATACAAATTTATCTTCTGCATCTGTATTTTTTTTCAAACACGAAAGTGAGTTGAGTCTAACAACTCACAATGGCTAGAACACGCTTTTCAAACTCAAATGATATTATAAAGGTATTTATAAATCATTCTAATAAGATCATTATATTAAGAGTAGTATAAAAGTATTTATAAATCATCTTAATAAGGTCATTATATTAAAAGTGATATTCAAACTCACGACTTTATTAATTATAAGTCGACTTTTTATCAATTAGATTAATTTTTTTAAAAAAAACATTTTCAAAACACCGTACATATATATTTTTCTTTTTAATTTGGTAGATGATTTTGAAATGGCACACCTACCACCAAATGAAGATTGGGTGCGTTCTGCGTACGACCACATGATGATTTCTGAAAATTACAAAAAGCATGCTTGCATGAAATTGAAGGACCACTTCTTCTTCTCCACACATCCTGATAATTAATACGTGTCGCTCAAGGCAATTAATCATGACCGTCCATATATATTACCACCGTGTAAACTGGTTTTTTAATTCCCCCCAGTGGATCAACCGTGACACCAAGATGTCAATTAATGTCGTCTGTGATTACTCTTAAAGTTGGCAAAAAAAAGTAATTACTCTTAAATGGATTAGTTAACTGGTGACCAAAAAATTTTCCTTATTAATTTAACCTGCATAGCCTTCTTCTGGAGGAAAAATATCTAGGGCAGGGCTAAGCTGAGAGTCTGTGCACGTGATTTTATTTTAATAATTAATAATTAATGAGTACGTATATTAGGATTTATTAGGTTTGAAGAAAGTCATATAAATACAATAATAAGGAGGGAACGTGGCCAACTGGGAAGTTGTGGACGGGAACCCATCCCTGAACGACTGTGTTGAACTAGTCCGTGGCCGGCGAGTTCACCATGCAGACTTGTCGTTTTCGATCTTCTTCTTTGGCATGGAAAATCATATCACTGACTGAATTACATATTCCGATTTTAAATACAAGGCTTATTTTATAGTATAAATTACGTAATAAAACGAGTCTTATATTTAAAATCGGAGGAGTACTGTACAACTACTGTCTATGGACAATTATCCAACAGACAATAATATTTACATTAAATTGCTTTAATTCATTATATCAAGTTGTTAAATCATATATATAAATACTAGGGTGAAAGAAACTCTATCATATGGTATAATCTTTTTAACACATTATTCAGAGTTTTCCGCACACACCAGAGTTGAGATGAAACACATATACATCATTCTACAATATATAAACATAGAGCCAAAACTTCTCTACCGAAAAAATACAACTCAATATTCATAATCAAGGATTTAATTTATAAAACAAAACTGAGTTAGGACTTGTTTGTTTCTATTTCTTGTTTTCTTGTTCTAAAAACGATTTTTAAAAATAAAAAACAAAAAAATATGTTTAGATAATTAATTTAAAAAATCATATTTGGTAAGCGGTGGCCATCATCAGAGATGATATGTGGTGGGCAATAGGCAAGAAGAAAAGAAGATTTTTTTTCAATTTTTAAAAACAAAAACCAGAAAACATCTTCAAATTGGGAAAACTGGGGATAAATGCTTCATGGAGAAATTAATTGGCAAATGGGACTTAAGGAATTTGTGCAAGTGAACTTCCATTGTGTGCAAGTGATTTTCCGTTTTTATGTAATTGATCTTCCTTGTGCGTGCAACTGGTCTTTCGTGATATGCAACTGATCTTCCTTATGTGTAACTGATCTTTCTAGATCCCGTTTGCCAATTAATTTTTCAATGGAGTATCTATCCCCAATTTTTCCTAAAAATTGTTTTTGGCTTTTTAGCTTTTAAAAACGCATTACTGTTTTTTATTTTTTTAAAACAACCCACTAAAAATAAATTACCAAATAATTTAAAATTTTTTTCCCAAAATAAGAATCCAAACCAGCCCTTAATTTTTCTAAATAAATTTTCACTCAATAAATTTTTGAAATAAACATAAAAAAAATTTCGGGGGGTTTCCAATTAGAATGTGACAGAGAAAGGGTTGGGTGGCTGTAAAAAAAGAGGATATGCCTTTCGCATTTTCACAAGAAGACTGAAAAATATGTAAGTCAACAAAAACCTTCTGATTTTTAACTTGAGGTCCAAAATGTTCAATACATTAATCCGTGATTTCGTCACATCCCCATCTATACACACATTCATATCTTACATATAATTATCTCTTTGTTCAACTTCTTTTATTTGGTAGGTCACCTTCAAACAACCCCAACACATTTTCCTTCACCAATAACACTGATTTTCCCGGATTCTGCTGATTATTTTCTCAACCACTTTCTTTTTTTCTTTTTTTGGCCCTCTTCAAGTACAGCTGAAGACATTTGATTAGTGTATATGGAATTACGGAGAAGCGAACAAGACAATAATTTAAACAATTACGTACTTCTGAAGAAACTTAAGGCCTCTGATTATTCAATTGTTTATCTGTCGGTTTCTAACTAGTTGTATGAAACGCATGTGAAATTATATACTACGAGAGTGTTTAGATAAGAACCAAATTACAATTTTAAAAGTGATTTTATGATATACAAAATAAATATATAGATAGATTTGTCTCAATTTACAAAAAAATACTTTTAAAAAGTATTTTTAGATATATCCAACCACCTCCTAAATGGCTAACACGTAGGATGACTTTTCCGGAGCGCCTTATTTTTTGAACCTCACGTCATTGATGCTATAAAAATATATTAAACAAATATTTCTTTAAAGTATATTGGAAGGAAGAGACGAGGCAGCATAAAACGCTCAGAATAAATAATACTCAAGCAGGAAAATATCACCTCGTTCAACCAAACTTTTAGGAAAAATAATTAAAAAAATACAATGATAAATAAGTGATTTTGACAACTTTTGACATATTAAGGGCCTGTTTGGGTATCCCAAAACCGTGGTTTCAGAAGCATTTTTCCGCAAAACGAGATAATCTCCTCCACATATTTACTTCGTAATCCGTAAAAGCACTTCTGAAACCATGGTTTGGTTTCTATTCAAACACATCCTAAAATCATTATAAGAGCAGCTAGAACTATTATGACCTATTTGTGCCATCGAGGGTATGTGTGTAAGTGTTTTTTTTAATAAAAAAGTTGAGACTATATGAACAGTACTCCCTCCGTTTCTTATTATAAGAGACGAATAACCGAATTACGTTGATCAAAAAAGCAGTTAAAATTAGTTAAGAACAATCAATGTGTAAAAAATATAATTTTTTTTCCAAAAATGCCCTCATTAATAAGGAGAGAGAGTATGAGAGAGAACAATTAAATTATTGAAAGAAAGAGAAGTGGGAGGGAGAGAGAGTGTGAGTTGCAGACAATAAATATGGGTAAAATAGGAAATCAACACAAAAAAGTAGAGACAACTTTTAAGTGTCTCTTATATATAGGAACATGCTATAAGCATCAAATGTCTCTTATAATAAGGAACGGAGGGAGTAATTAGCACCTCAATATTATTGTTCTGTTTGTCTCTACTACACGCAACACGCTGCTTACAAATAAATATTAAACATGTAAATAATTATAATTAACGCCACCATCATTACATAATGCTATCTTCAATTCTTAATATAAAATCTAATTTGTAATAACTAGATCTTAATATAGGAGATGGTATTAAACATTGCATCCCTGGGCCCTAATAAACTCCTACCTTCATCGTTAGCCCAAAAAAAGAAAAACACCTCCCAGGTTCCTACCTTCATCAGTTGCCACCGCACTGCCATCAAGTGCAACCCAGAAAAAAAATAATAACAAAAAAAATTATTTGGGTTTCTTCATATCTTTTTTTTTTTTTCCTCTTTTTTGGGTAGACAGTGTCTTTATATCTCAATGCAAACCGATAATCTTTTTAGGTGTATTGCTAGAATTTTCCCTGGTGAATGATACAGACACGTTTACTTTTGCATAACAGAGAGAATGGTTCAATATATGAAAATGGTGACAAACAGAAGTTGACGCATCTACTTGTGTTATTTCCATCTCTTGCCCCCTTTTTCGTATTGTGTTTCGAATCTCAAAAGGCAGAACAGGATGAGCATGGACTGCTAAAAGCATGCCTCAAACCAAAAAGGCTTCATCACAATAATTGCTTTACAGACCATATAATACATATGTGTATATATATAGCAGCTTACTTTTTCCTTCAACAGTCAATATCAACCAGCTATCTGATGCTGCATGATTAATTCATATCATCTTACTGCAAAACAACGCCACATGCAATTTCAGGAATGGGTGGTGCCTTTTTTTGGGTTGGTTTCCCACTTTTGAAAGTCAATTCAGAAACATATCTGCAGCATCTGAAATGAAATTTGGGGCATCACGGAGATTGGGGTGGATTCATTCATGGAGCCTAACTTGGATTGGATCTCATTAACATGTCAGAACATGAGTTCAGTTCCTTAAATATATAGTCTTACTGTTAATTCATTGGTTCATGTGTACACACACACAAGTGAAAAGTAGAGAAATATACTACCTTCGATCCTAATTATAAGAGCTAGTTGATTAATTTGAAGAAATTAAAGAAAGAAGTTAAGTTAATTATTTGTAATAAATAAGTGTTGTATTTCCTAAAATATCCTTACTAATCAAGTAGGTTGGCTAAAACTATAATTATTAGAAGGACTATCTTGGAAAAAATTGAGTAAATATAAGAGACAAAATGGATTGGGGTCTTATATTTAGAACCAACAAAAAAATCAAACAACGTCTTATGTTAAGAATCCGAGGTAGTATAACCAAACATGCTAGAAACGAGTCTTGTCAATGGTCTATCTATTTCTTCCGACTTAAGTGGGTGTACCGTATGCCTCAAAATCCCCTACTATAGTGCAATGCTGAAACTTTGCCATTTGCAGGCCGGACAAAAAGTTGCATTCTTATAATGAAATGGAGCAGCGGGTATTTATGCATACCCTTTTCATTAATGCATAATGAATTCAATTTCGATAAAGCTATATTTTCTGCATCATAAAATGAGCGGAAAAAGAATAAGGCACTGACTTACTGTTACAACAACAAAAAAAATCAGAACAAAAATTGATTTACGCTAACTGAAGTGCCCTCAAGATTGAAAGAACCTTGGAATACAAGATAATCTTAAATCAAACCAGAGACTTTCCCCTTAAGCAAGAGAGTCCTTGCTCAATATCTTAGCCTCAAGACTTTCCTTGTCTTCATGTGTCAAAAGTGGTGAACTGTCCTTCTCTTTAACCTGTGAAGAATCAAGAATATGATCACAAACCAGTGAATGAGACTAATCCCAAACAGGAATAAGAAAAGAAAAGCTCAAGAAGACAAATTACTCACCTGAGAGGCCAAGGAGAGATCAACCTGCTGTTTCTTTTTGTTCTCCTGAGTGCAGAAATGAGAGTACAGGCCCATTCCCAAAATGGCAATCATTATTCCAATAATATTCCTCTCAGTGAAGGGGTCATGGAGCAATGTGTAGCCAAATGCAAGAACAAGACAAGTCTTAAGGTGGCCAAGTACTTGATAAGTTACAGGAGATGTCTTGCCAATCACTAGAAATGTGCTGAAGTTTACAGAAACGGCTATCAAGCAGGACAGAACAATGAATGCCTACAAAGTGCAAATATACTATCAATCATGTGCATTATGCATCAAATATAGTACGTAATTAAGGAGGTTCATTTATAGATAATACCAAGACTATTGGAGAATATTTGTGGGAAAAGACGTTTTGTTTGGTGAGGAACTGATCCACTAAAGGGCCTGAAACAAAAAGAACTGCTGCTTGAAATGGAGCAGAATGGTAGAGAAGTTGTGTTGAAGAGACATTAAGCTTTTTCTGTATAGTATTTGTCAGCTGAATCATGCACAAGGTTAAGAAAAAACAAGACCAAAAAATACTTTTCTGCAAGTAAATTGAAACCAAGCAGTCAGGCTTAACCACAATAGGAAGGATAAGCCCCGTCAAAACTAACTACATTGCTGCGTCAGTGGACATTGCCACCCAAACATGGATCGATATGATAAATTTTCATTGAATCCTTGCACAAACACTTGTATTGCGTGCGTGTGTGTGTGAGAATTTGTTGTAAGCGCTGTAAAGGATACAATTTGGCTGACACACGTGGTTATGATGGCTAAAAGGGAAAGAATGGTGCCAACAAAATTGAGCTGGAGATCTGTGACAGAGGCAATGCCAACTCCAATGAGTAAGAGGAAGAGAGAGAACTTTATTTTCTGGCTGCAACAAGCAATACAAAAGGGTTTGTCATTGAACAACATGAAAATTTCTGACTTTGAATTTCAGAGGCAAAATAAATTGAGGGTTTAATTTACCTGAACTGCTTCTTGAGGAAAACAGTTTCTAGCAACACAGTAAATGGTATAATTGCAAGTTTGGTCATCTACAAAAGGAACAATCCCAAATGGTAAAAATTAAAATTAAAGAACCTGTTTATGTGGGCGATGAAGGGAAATTTTATTTATAAGAAAAGAGAGTAAAGGAACCTGATAGAATCCAACGGAATTGAAACCGAGGCTCAAGTTGAGAAGGCCAATGGAAACGCCATTTAGGATTCCAAAAAGAGTGACCGTCTTCATGTCAATGGACTTGGCCTCAAAAAAATTGAGGCGTTGGGCAACATGAAGAGTGCAAAATGTAACCATCAGGTGCCAGCTAGTTAATGTTGTGGCTGCCCACAACCAAACAGGAAACAGCAAAGGTTAAGACCACCTACGAATACTCATGAATGTTAATGACCAGGCTTCAAGACACAATACCACAAAACATAACGTCTCACCAGTTTTGATACCCTGGTGTATGCATATGATTCTTTCTTGGTAACATGTTACGTGGTTGATGACTTGTTTTAAAAGAGGTTTCGTGCAATGCAAGAAAAGATAACGGATTGTTTGTCACGCGGGAACTGATTAGTAGATGCTTAGGACTTGAAGATTACAGTCAATAATGAAATCCGCGATTTTTGTGATGATGCAGATCAATATTACAAAGTGAAACAAACTCGTTGGTTTTAACTTTGAAGGACGGGATAAAATGAAGATTACCAAAAGGGAAGCCCAGATTGCTCATCAATGCTTTGTTGCAGATGACTATAGAGACAGAGGAGGCCACTGACAGAAACAGTGCACCCGCCACACCCAACTGGAAGCTCGACATTTCTCCTGTATCTCTGCTGAAAATTCATATATATATATATATATATCATGAAATATATTTATGAACATTTGGTACACTGATCATTTTTCAGGACTTAAAGCACAGATGAATCCAGTGCTAAAATCACCAAGATTTGTTTCGTGACAGACATTAAGTGACCAGCTTTAGAAATGAGACTGATGTGTATGGGAAGAGAAGGAAGCTAAGTTGATGAATACATTCATGATTGAGTGCAGGATATGAGACGGAGCTTTTCGCATACCTTTGGAACTGCAGGGGATTGACAGGTTAAACGGCAGCGAAGGAGAAGAAAGAGCAGAGTTGGGCTTCTGTAGGGGAAGGCAGCTTGGGGGAGCGCTTTATTTTCGTTGCGGTTTGGTTGGTGCCTAATGCTGTTTAGTTTGGCGGGAGTCTTGGGGTTTAAGTATAACTCAACCTCCCTCCACGCACACTTAACGGCCACTTGAAGCAATCCATAATACAGTCGGTCAAAACAATTCCCTCATTTGAAGTGAATCACCAAAAACTCACATTATTGTTTCCAATATGTGTGCCCGTGTCTTTTATCAATATTTTGTTAAATATCTGCGTAAAATAAAAATACCTTATGTAATGAATTTAGTAGAAAACCATAATCAAATGAACTGTAAAATAAGAATTAAAATACTCATGATTTTCGACAAAAACATATTCGAGGAGTTTTTGAAAGCTGCACCGTTAAATTCTTTCTTTTGAAGAGTAGTCAAGTATTAATGTATACTTATAAAGGTTAATTGATCAATTTAAAAGAAAAAAAAAACTTTTGTGGGTTTGTGCTTTTTGCACGAAAATGTGGTAAGTTTTACAATGGATGGCTTCTTATAGATGATCACATGCCCCAGAAACCGTGCTTATAATTAAATTTAAAATCTAATCACTCTATTAGGAAAGATAAGAAAGTAAAAGGGCACATTTTTTGAATTTTAAAATAGACCCAAGAAGGAAACGGCTGAATGGTATGAATCAAAGAGGCAGCAGGGATTGTGGGGGAAGGGGTGTGTGTTAGTGATATTTTAGCTAATTTCAATGAACAAACACGTGTTTGAACTTTGAATGCCAAATAAATTGAGTCGTTTTTGGGCCCCCCCAATATATATATATATATATATATATATATATATATATATAAATTGAGTCATGAATGAGAAGCGAGAAGGCAACGCTTGTGTTTGTGGGGTATCTCCCAGTTGAAGATTTCCATCCATAGACTTCAACCTTACTCCAAAATGACGCTCCTACCCCCAACCCCCTTTCCTCTTTTCCTCCAGTAATTCATAGCTGTAACATGGGATTATCCAGATCTGGCAAATACTACTATTCTTTTTTAATACTCCTCCGGTCCTTAATATAAGACCCATTTAACTAATTTGATTAGATTAAGGAAGTTAGGTAAGTTAGTTAATTATAAGAAATGTGACACATTTTTCTTAAAATACCATAATCATATTTCTTAATACCCCATCTTCCTCTTCTATTTGATTATGGTTGAGAGAGTATTTATAGGGGTAATTTAAAGAAAATTGATAAATATGACAAATGGGTCTTATATTTAGGACCAAAACCAACTCAACAATTGGGTTCTATATTAAGGGTTGGAAGAATAATTTATAAATGTGACAATTATAGTTGCCGCTGCTTCCATCCTCACTTCTCACTGCTTCTTGTGACTATAATATGCAGAATGAATTAATAAACAAGTCCGCAGCTCTGAAATTCCTTATTTTTAATTTTCAAACTTTTCTAAGTATTTAAATTTGTCCGTGAAAATGCTGGGGAGAAAACAAGATAAACCATATGTATAACTTGTGGATTGTAATGCGATGCTCTTTAGAATTTTAACTTGATGACATATATAATGGTTAGTCCAGTTGAATAAAAAAGGATCAAGTCCCATATGAGAAGAATGTGGTGTTATTTAAATAGAACCTAATAATATTTAAACATAATTCAATATACTGAACACCAAATAATTACACTTTAAAGGAAAAAGAGGCCAGATGCAAGATCTTTTTCTTTTTTGTTTTTGGCCAAATAGGCCATACGTAGGACGAGACATCCTTTGTTTCCTAGCCGACACGGCGCATATAATTAAAAGGGACAGAACCTGAGATATGAAAAGGGTGAATGACTCCAATGTAGGCAAGGAAACGATGATTCCACTAACAGGCAAAGCATGTTTGAAAGGGGTATAGCTATAGTCGAAGGGGACGCCAATATTATTAACCCCTGATTCCTTCCAAAAACACCTTATCAGCATCGGTGAGACGAGTCTGGAACAAAGCCCACTCATTTCTGCATCTTGCTCTAACCTGCAAGAGGTTCCAGACCAAACAGTTCATAACGGGTTCCTTGTTAGGGAACAGTAACACTATTCCTGAGTTGGGGGACCAGAACTAGGCTTTGTATCAATCGAATAATCACAAATACCTCCTTCATTGTTAAGTCAATTATAAACACTTTCCTCGATTATAAAAATCGTAGAAGTAAAATATCCTACTTAACTATCACACCACAAACCCAAACCCTTTTGTCCATTTTCTATCAATGCCTTTGATGCAGGCGTAGCAAGCATACACCAATTAATCTGGAAACAATACTGCGTGTGTGTGTGTGTGTGTGAGAGAGAGAGAGAGAGACCTTGATATGGCATATTCGTTGAAAAAAAAAGGGAAAATTGACCATAAATATTTAAATCCTAAACTGTCGTAGTTGAGGGAGTATTTTTGGTCTTCAAAGTCGAAGGAGTTTGCGAATGACTTGAAGTTTTTGCATTTGTTTTGCTTCAACCCTTTGGAAAATGCTACGGCCAGATAATGTATGTGTGAAGTTAATTACGTACACAACGATGCTTAACAGGGCCACGTCGATATAATAACATAGTAAAATGATTCTATGAGAAATGCACTTACCGCATCCCCTTGCTGTTTTCCGTGATCAGCATCTCCCTGAAAATTATATAACACATTTCATAAAACATTCTGGTTCGCTCAAAATAATTTCATTCACAGTAGAAACGACAGAGGCAAACAACTGGCCGAGTTTTCAGGCACAAAAAGGAAAAAGAAAGCCAGCTAGTATCGTTAAACAGGGGGGGATGAGATGCTTGTATAATAGGCACACTAGGCGACCATTTAGCATCTGATGATATAAATCCTATTTAATTTTCATTTGTTAATCACACTCATGTAGACACATGATCAAGCATTCTAGGCACGTAAAGAAATATAGAACTTAAGCAGTTAGAATTCCTCCTCAAGTTCGCTTATCTCAAGCACAAGTAGATAAGCACCCTCTAGAAACATGTGGACCCAGGCCAGGCTATTCTTATAAATTAGCTATGACTAACCTGGCTCCTGAGAGATGGAACCCCTTGATGAACAATCCACTGCGAATCAACTACACCGATTTTTTCATGTGCTGGCTGCCAAATTGAAACAGAAAGGTATTAGCTTAAAGTAAACAAGAAAATAATTAATTATCTTCTTCAAACTTTGGGTAAGATTTCTGTTAAAGCCAAAAATTTCAGGAGAGACAAAAGAAATAATCCATATCCATGCACACAAATTTCATATAAAGAATCTCTTCAAAAGCCATAGAAAACAGAATCTGCTAACCTCTACACATCTTCTGAGAGCAAAATCCAGTCCCCATCCATGCACTAAGTCGTTCTACAAGCATATGTTGGGAAGTTCGTCAATGTAACTGAAGAGTACACTCATATCGTGGAAAGACAAAATCATGTATTCATATGTGATATAAAACTGAAAACCCAAAAAACCTGAATCATATGCCATACACATCGCCATGCTTCACGAGAAAAGACTGGAGCCATAATTTCCACGAAGCTGAAAAAAAACACCAGAAACAATTAATGTAAAATAAAAATGGATAGATAAAAGTGTCGGTAAAGAATATTGTTGCATATCAAGGAGGAAGAGATAATCTACGCAGCACAAGGAGGCAAGTGTGGATCACTGCACCAGCCTGGTTTCTCCTCTGTGAACCTATCCGCCAATCCATACATAGAAATGTTACGAGAATTCATATGTAACATAATAAGACCCTCAGGCTATAGCTGGAGATAGAAAAGGGGGAAGAACAAAAATTACTTGTGAACTGATCTATCACCTCTCCTCTTTGTCATTTCCCATGTTGAATCACTATTTTCAAGAGCAGGTTGAGATATCTCCAAGCCATGTTTTTTTATTAGCTCCATAAATCTGGTAATAAAAACACAGTTAGTAACCAAAAATTGCATACAAAGAGGAGGTTTGAGAAGAAAAGATAGGATTTAAACATATATCCATACTTGTCTCCATTGAAGTGTTCCACTCCAAGATCTTCATCCCATATAAAAATATATTCATAAGCTGATACAATATCAGGATGCAAAAACCTCTTAGCATACCACCTGCATACCATCATATATGAAGCACAACAAAAAGTTCAGGGATAGAAGCACAAAGACAACCATTCCACATGATAATCAGCTAACTAATGAATTTGTTGAGTTGAATCTAAACACAAACATTTCATCACCCACTGCAAAATATCTTTCTTCAAGAGAAAAAAAGCTAGAGGGAGAAAATTCATAAACAATGTGAGTCTCCAGCAAAGAAGTAGTGAAAAAAGGGAGGATAAATAACCAGAAGGATATTAACAATGTACCATTTTGTTTGTTTCCTTGCACTAACATGGATCGCTTTCTTTGACCACTCAAATTCATCCCATTCATTAATCCGATTGTCATAATGAAAGAGCAAAATTGCAAAATCATCAGAAAACTACAAAATCAGAAGAGAGTCAATGCATGAAGGCAATATGATAGGAAGGATAAATAAACAAATATATACATATAAAACTGTTCAGTCAATAACCTTTTTGACTGATGCGTCAATGTTATATCTCTGATCATAACCAACAGTGAATGTCACTAAATACTTTGGCTTTTTCTGCAGATCCTTTGGAAATCAAGGTCTTATTGTCAGGCTCATAATATTGATGCTTAAGAAATAGATGCATGAAAAAAGATTGCTTGAAGGCACATGTGAGATATGTATGCATCTCTTGGTGATATGACAAAGCGTGGCACACAGCTAGAGCCCAGAAGGCATAGTAAATATGAAGGATACGGATCAATTTCTGATCCCTCCTGGGTTATGCTTAAGGACCCTGAGAGTTAGTGATTGGAAGACCCAATAATTTGTCATACCTCACTTGGTTCACCCCATAGCCTTCGCAAATGAAAATCAGATTCAGATACAACAATTCCAGGAGGTAGTGATTCTGCCCCATGAGGATTTGTTGGAACATACATCTGGAAACTAGCAATAGTGTCAGACTCGATAATCAAAATGTGTGTGTGTGTGTGTGTTTTTGTGTTTGTGTAATTAAAACAGAAGGCTACAGCTTGCATTTACTGATATTTTTTCCCTTGAAATATTGATGCATGGCAATCAATTCTCCTACACTGAGGGGTAACTTCTTGTTAAATTAAATTTTGCAAGAAAAATATATTGTTAAATGTCAATTCGCCTACACAAGTGCTTGGAAATAATTGATATAGGCAGTAAAAATGGAATCACCTTGTAACAAAAACTTTTTTTTAAAAAAAAATACCTTAGGTAATTTCATTGATCCTAGGTATTCAAGGCCTTCAGTTCCAGAGGACTGGTCTGTAACAGCCTGAGAACGGTTTATGTCAGCTAAAAATTTCTCTATATCAGCTATCGGCACATCAAAAGAACGTCCAAAGCTTGAAGGTAAGCGAATCTGCAACATGAAAAAAAAAGGAACATAGAATGAAAAATATATGCCTGATGCAATGCTGGCAATTGATTATGTGACAGAAATACCTTGGTGATATTCGAGGATGGCATTGAAATACCGAGAGAAAACCCCAAAACAATTCCCATAATTGCTGTGATGAAAACCTTGATGTTATCATTCGACTTTTTAACACTGCAGAAAGGCCAGCAAGCTAGATTTAAACATTCTGATTAAACGGACACCAAATATTTTTATTGTGGAAAAAAATCATTTCTTTGCATCTTAGCTTGATTGAGGCACATACTAGAAAAATTATGAAAGACTAAAGTGAATATAATCTGGTAAGCGAGCAAACACAATTAATCCATACCTTCGCTGCATTATTCCCCTCCAGTTAGAATCTTTCCGTATTAAATCAACAGATTTATCACCGGGAAATAGTTGATGTCCCTAAGCAGACTCTGATTCAAATGTGTCATCCTTTAACCACCATAACTGGAATTGAATAATATGCAGGTTAATAGTAGGCGTAGTATGCACTTGATCTTGCACCTACATTCGCGTATCTAGCCGGAATCATACCAAAGTGAAGGCAGGCATGGATGCATGCAAATCAAACGAGCATCTCATAAAAGCTATGTTGCCAGCGAGTTGGCACGTTGAAGTGTGTGTCATGTGCGGTTATAGGCTTGCATTTTCAGAGAGAAAGGATTGCAATAAATATTGTAATATGACAGTAAATGTTACGAAATATCGAGATCGATTACTGCTGAAGTAAAACATATGTATAAACGATCACGATGTTTCAAAATTAACAGAAACTTGGTTTTGTTTCCTCTGAATTTCCAACTTAAATACAGGCACCGCGCAGGCGATTCGTATCTAGATTCTTTAAGAATATAAAGGATCATCATATGGCAGCAGAAATAACAACATAAAGTCTTAATTTCTAAATCTTCAGCTGTCACCAGAAAGCTCAGTTTCAGCTTAAGTATGGCATGCAATTACCCATAAAAGGGAGAAATCATTCCAAAACCACGAACTACGAAGCGAAACTACCGTCGAAGAAGAATATTATCCAAATTGACAACCACATTACATCCTTGACCTGATGCTATCCCATCTATCTATACCTCGCAAAATGATAATCACATTTCAACAGTGCTTCCAATGAAGCAGACAACATGGATTAACAACTCTTAAAATACTCTAAAAGGTAAATGAAAATTTCTTCGAAGGCATCATCAAAGATCATTGCAACAGCTAGGCAAGAAGAAACATACAGAATTGATGGAGAGGCGATAAGGCTTAGACTCAGGCTCTTGTCGATCGAATTACAGAGAGAGTGACCGTTCGAGGAGCAAAACTGTTACGAAACTGAAAAACTGGCTTGTGGGGAATTATAATTTACATGATCGAACTGCCTAGCCTTCGCTTTTCCATCTCCATGCATACATTTCTCGTTGCTTTACCTTGTTACAGCCCATAGGCATGTGCCAACTTATTCAATTTAGAGACACGTGTAGTGAGTTTGATACCGTTGGATTACAAAGCTATGCCATCCTATGGTCCAGAAAATTCTGCAACAGCATTAAATAAACACTTTTCTGGTTTTTTAAATAATGTTCATTCTGAAACTAAATTCTACCTCCGGTCATTAATATAAAAATTTGTTGAATAATTAGAATAAAATTAAAAAAATTAGTTAAGTTAGTTATTTCTAATAAATATGTGTCATGTTTCTTAAAATACTTTTGTTAATCATATGTATTAATTAAAACTATCATTTGATGAAACATTTAACATATGCAACTAATATAAGGACTACCTTGAAAAAAATAGATAAATATGAGAGATAAAATGAATTAGAATCTTATATTTAGGATCAAATTTAAAATCAAATTAGTTCTTATATTAAAGAAATTAGTATAAAAATAGTTAACCAACAAAAGAAAAAAAATTATATCGCTGCTGTGAATTGCTTTTCAATGGTCACATTTCATTTTTTGTGTGGATATGCGATAGCTGCCTTTGGGTATATGTAAAGCGATAGGAAGAGCGGATTTGATGCAAAATCATGTAATGTATGGTTTGGTTTGGTTTGGTTTTGTTTCATGCACCTTTCGTGTACTTCCTACCCTTTTAGATGCTAACCCACCGCTTTCTTAGCAAGTGTGAACTATACGAGACCTTTGGTAGCAGTCACATATGTGATATGTTTGCTCCACAGTATCAAGTAACAGCCAATTTTGCTTTCCCATTTTGCCTTTTCCTTTGTCCATGCTCAAAATGCTCAAATATTTTTATATGTTTTGATCTATTTTAAAAATAGTTGTTAATTGTTAACTCATTATGCACTGCTAATTAATTTTTTCCATTGCAAATAATTTTGCTTTAGTATTTTTGGAAGCAAGCTATTCTTTTTACTTTTTATTTAATATCACATATATTTTATGATTTGAATATCTCATAATATATTAATTATGTCTTATATGTTCTCTCCTCTGTTGGATTAATTACTTTTTTTTTTTAATTTTCTTTTCTTAAGAATTTAGAGAGTTGGATAGATGGTTAAAACTTCAAATGAAGCACTTCATACTACAAAGTAAGCCAAATCATGTTAGCCGTTGGATTTGTCTGCTCACTAATAATGATAGGCAAACATGCATGGGAAAGAGAATTGGCTAAATAAAATTATTCAATTAATTGTTTCATCATGAAGAGTTCAAGAGAAAGAAAAGAGCTTTATCTTTGCATATTAATTAATGAATAAAAATAGCCACTTTTGGCTTTACAAAAATATCAACATAAATTAATTACAATTTTGTTCCAAGAATGATCTTATTTATTGGATTACCTTACGGATAATCAATGTAACTATATCCCCTTGCTATCCACAAGTATTGCCTCTAGTATTAAAAAAACAACTCAAGAAATCAAATCTTTTGTCAAGGAGGAGGAAGAACAAAGAATAAAACCAATCATGACAGCTAAAGCTGATTTCAGAACTTGATGCAGCTTTGTGGCAAACCTGTATTATGATCCACAGAAACTATCTCAGTGGCATTGTCACATCTTAGCACATCCTGACCCAACTTAGCCCCAGCAGACTTCAAGCCCCTTAGAGAAACTGGTTGATTAAAAAGGTTCAAAGATGGCAATTTTGAAGCTGGAGGCAACTTCATTCCTGGTAGAAAAGTTCTAAAGTCTTCATTCAACAATGGAACTTCAAAGTCATGTTTGTCATGTCTAACCGCATTATCTTTTGCACTGATATGAGCTCCTGGTTCCATATGGTTGGTTGAGAAGCTAGCTTGGTGTGGGAAATTTGGATAGAGACTAACGTACCCTCTAAGGTACATCATGTCTATGAGGAACTTCTTCCATGAAGCTTGCCACCCATTAGTTCTTGACTTTGGAATTTGAACTGGGTTTTCCTTGGCATTCTCGGTGAACCTCATGTTCATATACACGTAAAACTCTCTCCAGTGCTTAGGGAAGAAAACTGCACCCCAACTACATGGTAACTGGTGTAAGTAAGGAATGTTTGGATGGATTCCTTTGAAGAACTCTGTGGCATTCCATTTAGGTCTTTCTTTGACAACTTCAACAAGTCTTGGGGTGTAGAGGGAGATTGAGGAGAGCTCAGGTAGAGAGACTTGGGGATCATAGTGGTAAGCCAAGAGTGCATATTTGATCCATAGATAATAGTAAGGAGAAACTTCGATATCATCTTCAAGAAGGACACCAAAGTCATCATCAGAAGAAGGGTACCAGCTCTCACTCACTGCTCTAATTAGCCCTCCTTGGATGATTCTTCTCCTCAAGGTTTTTGGTCCATGAGGCCACTCGAACGAACTCACAAGTTTTATAGTAGCTTCGTCTACCTTACTGTCCATGTTGAATGTTATAGGAACTTCATCTCCAACATAGTAAGCATTGGACAAAGATTTCAAAAGCCTTGTTAATGACTGAACTCTGTTTTGTGTAACAATGTTGACAGAAATCCGCATTTTGTTCCAATCTGTACAATTCAATTATGTTAGATAATAGTTTCAAGCGAAAAAAAAAATTAAGCTGTGAAATGAAAGAACTTAAAAGTGTAAGTCTTAGAATTTATAACACTTTGCGGAGAATCATATAATCTAAAAAGTTGAGGTCAATGAGTAGGAATTCTTACTTGGCAATGTTGTTGTACGTAGATCAGCCATCCAGAGAACTTTTGAAATGGAAGCTTTTGGTAAAAGAACTAGAGAGGTAGCATTGGAATTAGCTTCTGAAGCCATCTTCAAAGCCTTCTTCACATTAGGGTCAATGTCTGACACGGTGATGACCACACTAGGATTGTGAATTCTAATCAAACCCTTCATGCTAGAATACACTGCTTGTATAACTGGAATCTCTGAGTTTGATACACCAGAAAGTGCTCCAATTGCCAAGTCAAAAATCTTAAACCTTCTCTCTTTGCACACCAACTTAGGCCAATTTAGTGCAACTGCAGCATCTTCACAAGGACAGAAATTGCTTCCTGACACAACAATGTAGGCTTTTTTACCAACTGTGGATCTAAACTTCTCAAGAAGTGGTGCAAGTGCTTTGACTTCATCAACTGAGTGGGCATAGAAGAGTGCATCAATTTTCTGAGGGTACATTGCAGCCCATTGGGTCACATAACCAGTGGAAAGTGCTTTCCACCATTGATCATCCCGAACTTGAACAATATCCTTGAAGATTACAGTGGTTTCTGAGACATAAGCAAGCCTGTGCTCACTATCACCCCAAGTTTCTTTGTCATTTGGGTCAACTGGAAGAACAAACGAGCCCGCATTTTTATATTTCTGAAGTTGATAGCTACAGTGAGAAAAATAAGCAGGGTTAGAGTGTAAAAGTGAGTAAACTTAATGGAATTATCAAGTTAATTGCATCTAATGATCAGCATGAGTAAGATATTTGGTTGTTGCCAAATTACAATGAAGACACCACAAAAATTCTTCAAAACAAAACTAAAAAATTACTGTTTTCAAAGTCGTCCATTAGTGCGTCGACCGTAAGTTGTACGACTTATAAGTGGTGGTGCGCCTAAAAGCAATAGTTGATTTTTAATTGCGATCTACAAGATCTTTGGGAGAGTCAAATTTACGTTTGTTTGACTTTTATCCTTAGTGTTTAATAAACTAAGTTAAACTGTTCAGTATATAGCAATCTACCAACCAAGTAGATCTATTCCATTCTTCATAAATTGGCCAAAGATACTTCATGAACATAAAATATAATCAAATCATTTGAACTTTTAATCGAAACTTAACCTATAACGTACCTGAGATGCAAATCTTCCCCGGTTGCAAAGGTAAAAGGTGTCTCAGTGAACAGAGTTTTGACATGCTCAGCAGATAAGAACCATGAGCTAGATAAGAAATCCACCTGCACAATTTTATCAACTGTGATATTATAAGCAGGATCAGGCAAATAAAGTCCTGCTTCCTTAGACCTGAATTTTCTGTAACTTGGGAATGTAAAATCCTTCTGTCTGAAAGGCAATATCCTTCCTATACTTCCCAAAACAGAGTTCTTATACTTCTCTGTCCCAGCCACATGTGCCAATATCTGCAACATCTTCCTTCCAGGAATCATGTCATCATCAACTATATACACGAGATCAGCCTCAGTCTGAAGAGCCATCTGGAACCTTCCATAGTACTTGAAATCGTAACTCGAGCTTATGAAGCTGATTCTTGAATCATTGTAGCTATCTACAATCCTCTTCAAAGATAACTCATTTGGGCTCCCAAATGCGAGCACCCAGACGTGGTGGAATGGGAGGGTCTGGTGAAGCAGAGAATCAATCTGAGAACACAGCGTCTTTCTCTTGAAATGATTCAGAATAACTGTGATCTTTGGTCTGTTCGGACCTCTCAGATCCCATTTGGATTTCATGGCCATTAGCTCAGAAAGAGACTCAGAGCCAATGGTTTTGCTCTGAAACTCTAAAACCTCATTGTAGAGCTCTGTCTTCAACTTAATCATCTGCACATCGTTAGACTTCTTCTGCACGAAATCTATCTTCTCATACTCACACGCTTCAGATGGAGTAATGGGTTGCTGCACTTGAAAATCCTCTCTGATGAGAGAATTAGGAGCTGTTCGGTATCGACCCAATACGTGGGGTGTGATCATCATGTTCCTCCACTGATTTGCGATTCGGGTAGCCCAAGTGAAATCTGGTTTGGATCGTAAGTCTATAGCGGGGCTCATATAGTACAGTAAGAACGTTGCATAAACTGCGAAGAAAAACTGAAGACATGTGAGAGCAGTTACAAGCTTGGCAGAGCCACTTCGTTGAGCCTTCGCTTTGGTCTTTCCTCCAACGTAGTCACTGATCATTCCTTCCAAGTAATCCCTACTTCTCGAGCTGGAATTCCGATCAAACCCCATTTTGCAAATCTCAGGGGATTCAACGTCCTCCCACCTGAAGAGCAACAGATAATACAAAAGTCAGCCCTCTGAATTCTCAGCCCAAACATGCAACATATGAAACTATGCGGAGAAAGATACCAGATATATAATCAAATGGGAGGTTGTGAAAGTTGGTGATGGAATCTGGAGTGAAGTTTGAAGAGGAGAGAGACTTGATGGTTTCATATATAATGGTGGGAAAAGGCGATGAAGAGGCGAGGAAGAAGTAGACAGTGAGAAACGTATACAAAGGTCACATGGGCTTAACGCTTATGTGAAAGACGAAAATGGTGGGCGTATCTTCGTTCTTTTGTACATTTATAATTTATTTCACCCTTAAGACACCATCCCAAAGCCACTTTTATCGCCGCAGAAAAGGGCAACCCCAGCGTTTTGGGCACAGCGTGAAAATATTTGTAAAATTTTTTTGTATATTAAAGAAAGCCATACAAACAAAGAAGACAATGTATGTTTTCCCTTAAACCACTTTCATTTGTTTTTAAACCATAAATGAAACGATCAATATGTGAAAACGCACGCACAATTCCTGAGGTTAAGACTTAAGAGGAGCCTGGTTTAAGTGAGAGGCATTTATGAGCAGTAAAAGATAAGAGAAAGAAGAATGCAAAAATACATTAAGAACTAAGGCACCAACAAAACCAGAGAGACAACACGTGGCAGATGGAGATCATACATTACTGTGTACGTAGCTTAGCTTGATGAGGAAGACAACGCGTGGAGTGTGAGGAACAGAACCCGTTTCTTGTTCAGCAAAACAAGCTACGAACCTTGCGCTTAAACAGAGACCTCTGATTCAAACCATAAGCTTAAGTTAGGGACAAAGCAGGGGAATGGAGTGTCCATGAGAAGAAAAAAAAAGAACACATATATATTATCATATATATATGTAAAGGGGTTTGACTTTGTCGCAGATAAGGTTACGTAAATGAGAGAGCTGCAGAAAACTGAGTTAATGGGTGATCGCCGAATTTAATTAGGCGAGTTAGACGCCGAGAAAAATCTGGCTGGGTTGGCATACACAGGACACAATTCAAATTAATATTGATCGCTTAGGCATCAAACAAAGGTACTCAAATAATGGGAACACGGCGCCACCCGTCCGTTTTCATTTTTTTTTTTATTTCATCATTTTCTGGTGAGTTGCCATTGGAGTTTGTAGAAGAAAATTCAGTCAGTTAGATTGAGCAATAAGCAATTGGCTTATCATATCAAGCTGTTAACGCGATTCCGGTTTTTTAATGAAGGAATGAATTTCTGGGGTTGTTAGCGATTTTGATCATAGTTCTTATCGCACTAATGACACATATTGGTAAAAAGAAAATGCATTAAATGAGATGCTCTCCTCGATTATGGAATATATGGTGATTTTTTGTATGTTAAGTGAGAAGAAGGATAAGTAAATTTTGATTCACATTTTTCATATTGGTATCAATCAGGCACTCTGTTTCTGTGTGATGCAATGTTGCATTGAAAACGCAAATGAAAAGAGAATCAAAACCATGTTAGAAACAGGATGGAAAAGGCGTCTCCGGGGACGACAAAATCCCGGAGATCCTTCGCTTCATTAAAACGGGATCGAGAGAAGGATCCAGAAACAGAAGGGTCAAAACCTTTGAGAATTTTGACTCTTGCAGTAAAACTCTGGCCTCTAACCCAAATTATAATACTATATTCTTAATATAAAAGTTAATTTTATATTTAATTTGATTTTATATATAAAACTCTAATTTATTTTGCTTTTCATATTTATTTATTTTTTCTTAAGATAGTTTTTTTAATAGGTGTATATATTCAAATAATAGTTTTAGTTTATACACATAATTAATAAAATTACTTTAAGGATAACAACACATATTTATTATAAATAACTAATTTAATTAATTTTTTTAATTTAATCAAATTAATCAATTAGTTGTTATATTAAAGAAGGAAAATAATATTAGTAAAGCAGTGAGAAATTAAAATGGAAATTTCACGTTCATAGAGGTACTCTGCGTGAGATGAGCTCATGATCACGTGCTAAGGCTGTGTGTTCAAGTGACTCACCCCGTCGTGAGGGTCGCTGGCCTAATCGCGATTAAAAGTCAAATCCCATAAAATTGTTTGTTTATCCCAGTCAACGCGGCTTTCTCCTAATAGGCTAATACTCACTTTTTTTTCAAAAAAAAAAAGAGAGTTACTGTTCATTTTAATTTATTGCTTGTTCAAACGTTGACTCTGCCCACGTAGCAGCCTTTGACTCGTTTTGTTAACCATGTTAGTGGAAGCCACATTGGCAAATCCAGCTAGTAAGCCCCCCTCCTGTTTTGTTACAACTTTCTGTTATTATCTCATGCTTCTTATAAAGTTAGTTTTACTTTCAATTTGCTCATAAATATAATATTTGAATTCACTTTATCTCTTATATTTATTAATTTTTTAAAGTAGTTTTTATAATAGTTATAGATGTTAAGACTCCATCAAGTAATAGTTATAACCAATACACATGATTAAATACGATAATTTAGGAAAAACAACAGCTAATTATTACAAATGATTAACTTAATAAATTTTCTTAATGTATTAGTTCTTATATAAAGAATCGGAGGTAGTATGGAGATCTCTTCAACCAGATCTGTTAGATTTTATTATGTGAGTTTCCACGAATCTTCAAATTACAAAATTAATTTCATAAACATCACCTTAACTTTGAGACGTAATGCAATATGATACTTTTTTTTTTGGTATATGTATTATTTTACAGGAGTACTCTAGTATGTTGCGAGAATTATGCATTAGTTAATTACCAATGTTTTTTAATCTCTCAAATCTCTTAAACTACATACATATGTGTTTGACTTTGGATACAAGCATTTGAAAATTGAAATAGAGGAGTTGTTATTAGTGAGTGATGCGGTTGAATAAGCACATATATGGGGTCACAGACTTGTCCCGAGAAAGATTCTTCTCCCTCTTCACATACATTGGCCCATTTGTCTCAATCTTTGATTTATTAGGCTGTATTTTTAAAAAGTTAGCCTGGCCCTGGGGCATAGCAGTTGGAGCCAGGCATGAGTACAATAATTTAAAAAGCTAACCTGGCCCTGTATTTCAAATTGAAATGAGCGTTGATGAAACTCAAGAGAACAGATAGTTAGGTTTGAAGTAGTGATTACAGTAATTTAACACTAATAACAAGGAAACACAGGAGTACAAAAAGAGGGAACATAATAGTCTAATTTGAGGAAATTGTGGGTAGGCTAGCTCATCTACAGATCATCAACAGTAGCAACCTCTTCTTTGTAGTTAACTGTTAAACTGGCCTGGTCTATATCCCATTATTAATTAATCATCTTCCTCCACTTTTGTCATCTTAGTCGCTCTGTTTCCCAGCTGAGCTTAGAAGCCACTCCTTCATGTTTTGGGATGTATTCCTGTGTCGTTCAAACCCCATTATATATAATTGATCGGTGCTTTTTCTACTTGCATAAACTTGTTTATTCTCTGATCAAAGGAAAGTGGGAATTAGTTGCATATGTACGTACCTCCATCTTTTTGAAGAGCTCTTTTGGAGTTGGGGCAGAGACAATGATGTGACGAGCATTTGGGCTGATGAAACCTTCCTCCACTGCTTTGTCGATGAAGGACAACAAGGAATTGTAGTAGCCATCCACGTTCAATAATCCCACCTTCCCAGGTATAAAAAAAAAAACAGAGAGAGAGAAAAAGCTCAATTAATCAGCCATTACTTGTGATCTCTTCATAATTCTTCTGGGATGTTGGGAATTAAAAAATAGAAGAAAAACGAGACTTACAGGTTTATCATGGATTCCTAGTTGAGCCCATGTTATGACCTCGAGAAGCTCCTCAAGTGTCCCATAGCCACCTTCAACAGTTACACTAATTCAGATTCTTCCTTGTAAACTACACTTTCATCTTGTTAATTAAAAGAAGATTAGAGTCGGTAAGCGACCAAAATCCGCATAATTAACCGTGTTAATAGGATATACTACCTTCAGTACTTAATATAAAAGTTTGTTTGACTTTTATATGAGACTTTAATTTACTTTGTCTTTCGTATTTATCTTTTTTTTTTAAGATAATCCTTGAAATAATAATAGTTCTAGTCAATACACTTGATTAGTAAGATATTTTAGAAAATACAATACTTATTTATTATAAATAACTAACTTAACTAGTTTCTTAATATACTCAAATTAGTCAACTAACTCTTATATTTAAGACTGAAGGTAGTAGAAAGGTAGCACAGATCATATGTATCATCACATTTTCGTCGATTACGTTTGAGCACTGCATGGTTACTTATTTGTTTTAAATAAAATTTCCAAGGATATATAATTGTTGAAGTTAAAGTTCGTTACAGGGGCCGGCCTTACATGAGCCCCCCCATCCAAATGTCACTCTTTCAGCGCGTCATTTTACCTAACCGTTCATGATTAAACCAACCGTCAAACCTATGGGCTTCTCGCTCTCCGTTATGGGCCTTTCTAGGCCCTACCGGATAAAAACAATTTTTGGGTCAAACATTTATTAAATATACACCTTTTGCATTTCGAGTATGTTAAAACTAGATACACGTAGATGTCGTTTGGTATGAAATATTAAAAATAAAAAAAATTAAAATTAAGATTAAAATTAAAAAATTTATTAAAATAGTATTTAGCATAAGTAATTACTTATTATATGGAATTAAGCAAACTCATATGGTGGGATTGGGGAACACTACTTCCCCCCATGGTATTCTCCAATATCACATACATGGGTTTGACTAATCTCATATAACAAATAATCTCTTATACTAAATATTCTTTTAATATATTTTCTCAATTGTAATCACAATCCCAATCCATCGTTTTTAATACCTCCTGCCAAACGCAACTATAATTTACAACATGTGAATTCACTCAGAAAAAAAAGAAGAAAAGATATGTGAATAGTCTTTCTCTCTATATGTATTGATATATATATATATATATATATATATGTATTGATTATTGAACCCTAAACTCAACCGCTTTTTCAGTAATGCTTAATTACTAATTAGTAAATTAATTTGTTAATTATTCTATAACCTCTTCCTCTAGGACCTTGCTTTCTTAAAACCGTAATTTAGAATTAGAATCATTTTAGTGGGAATTAGAAGACAAGAGAGTATTTAAACAATTGATGGTAAAAATGAAGAAAATAAAAGAAAATAAGGATATAGAGGGGGGAGGAAGGAACCAGGTAAGGCAATGAAGGCGTCAGAATGCCTGGCCATCTCAGCTTTCCTTTGATGCATGTCCGCCACTGCCTTCACTTCTCCCACCGTTTCTCCTGTTATCTGCAATTCCCATCCACCGTCCATCTTTGTTATTCCTTATTATTATCAGCTAGAGAGAGATAGAGAGAGAGAGAGAGAGAGAATCTTGTTTTGGTTATTGACCAACACACAAGAAAACAACGTAGTTACTTGCCCTGTGACACACTCACAAACAGGGACCGTAAACCTAGGCATCCCGATATGAATCTCATGCCACTGACAAAAATTGGCCCTCACCCATTGACCCCAGTTTGCCTAAGTGTCTCACTTTGAGAAATAATTATAATACCACAAATCCAATCATGATTGAACCAAAACATAGGACATGGTAGAAAGTGAAAGTGAAAGCACCTTCTCATATAACGTAAATTCTCTCTCTCTCCCCTTTCTTTTTGTTCTCTGTTTTTGTTTGATAATACTCATAATGAAACGCTGTCAAGACCTTATCAACATTACCTCCCTCGGCATTAGTGTCTTGGGAATAACTCTGCACACAATAACATGACACACATTAGTTGACAACAACTGGAATGAACAACGAACAACTTTTCTGTCAACAGACATCATATATATCAGTTAAAAACAATGGTTGCTAAATGCTCACCCTATCACATGGCGACCACCGTTATAAACCGCTTGAGAAACTAACCCCATCAAGCCAATGCTGCCTCCTCCATACACCAGATTAATATTCCTTGACACCTTCATTTCAATCACCAAACAAGAAGTATGCAAATAGTTCATGAGTCCAAGTTTCAATCTTTTGCGGTCAACCTTCAAGAAAGAACATAAATTCGATCCCAAATATAGCAGAGAAACTCATATGAACTTAACTGGAAGGCTTCTCGCAGCAGAAGTTTACGCACTAGAAATGTAAATGCACAGGTATATATAGACATAAAGCAGTGTCTGAAAACAGAGAGAGCGGAAGGCTATAGCTGGAGTAATTCAAGTAATCCATCAATTGTTCATAGAGATTAGAAGAAGAAGAAGAAGAAAATTTGTGGGAATTTCGTCAAACTATAAGCAAGTTTCTATGATGAAAAGAGAAACGAATTGAACAAGAGAGGCAAGTGAAGTATTACCAGTTCCTTCCCTAGCTCAATAGCAGCATCCTTGTAATTGGTCTTCTTCCCCGGGCTACTCCCACAGAACACACAAATCCTCTTGAACCTCGATTGTTTCATCTCAGTTTCTCTCTCCATCTCTTCCTCTCTGAGTGTGTGTTTGGCACCGGGTTAATATCCCCTGCGTCTGAGCGCAGGTATATATAATAATATAACGTGGGAACAGGCAAAAGGCAAAAGGTAAACACAATCAAAACGGCATTTGTGAGCCGTAACGACATATGAGGGACGGTGCTGACTCACCCACAAGTTGCTGAATAGAACACATCCACTCATGTGTGCGCTTTAACATGGTCCCCTGTCCCAGAAACAAAATGGACACCCCGGGGTCCTATTTCCACATAATTGTGTTTTTTTTTTTTGGTTGCTGTAAAACTCACTCACTTTATCAAAATCAAAAACCATGTTCAAGTCTAGATTCTTATTCCCTTATATTTTCCATAGATTGTTTGTTTGTGTAAATTACTTGGCAAGTGAGACCGTAAGAGTTGATGGCAAGTGAGACCGTAAGAGTTGATACTGATACCATTCTTTTCAAACTATTCCTCGCATGATGCGTATTGGTTACAGATATTATGTGAGGCTGTCCTTAACAGTTCCTATTATCAAATTATTATCATTGTCATCACCATTTGTAGTAGTCGTAGCTGTTGTCGTGTAATTTCTGTGCATGCCATGGACAAGTCAATTGGATTTCGTCCAAAAAAATTCAAGTACAGAGCCATATGCTGCTCATTGAAAGTTCAGAAACCACACAAGAGAAGGAGAGCAAGTAGTGTCTTCTCGTGTGTGACAAGAATGTGGTTTAATTTCTGAAGCAAGTGATCGAGGTCTAATTCTCAAAGGTCTGTCATTTACTCTTTGTAGCAATATGATCAGGTGGTGCAATAACAAGGAGAACAAAGGGGTGAGACCATGCTGAGATCGGCCATGGGTGCCATTCGCATCCCATCCATTATTGTCTGTCAAGGTTAGTGTTGTCGGAAAGGATTGCAGTGTCCTGAGCGAATAGAAACTCAACACGAGCATCAAACCTAGTGATGATATGGGCACGGCCATATTTGGTAATGTTCTCTTCTTTGCTTGAGGATGTCGTGACTGCCTCACTCATTTATAGCAACAATCAAAAACTTTTTGACCTCATTAATCAGAGACCAGTTTTGAGGGTTCTTGCTCATTCCCTTCTTAATTTCATATCAGATAACAATTAAGCTTTCCCACCTTTTTACCTTCCCTTTTTCTTTGTTTTGTTCTGTTCTGATCATCGACGCTGAATGAATATATATATATATATATATATATATATATATCACGGGCTGATTTATTAGTTGAATTAAACAAATGCGATAAGGTTTTGTCAACTGTCTGGTAGTGAAATAACGTAACTGTGTCGAAACATTTCAAAAGAACCAAGAATCTGCTATATGTAGATGGATAGATAGAGTGTGTATGTGGGAGGGAGCTAATGGGAAGAAAAAGCAAGGGTCAAATCTCGGATGCTTAGCCATAGATTATGATGTCTGTTTGCCTAAAATTTCTGCGGTGGAGTAATTGGTACCGGCCTTTAATATAAGACTTATTTAACTAATTTAATTAGATTAAGAAAGTTAGGTAAGTTAGTTAATTATAAAAAATATGTCATGTTTTTTCTAAAACACTATAATCATCTTCTTTAATATTTTTTCTTCCTCTTCTACTTGATTATAGGTGAGGGAGTATCCATAGAGATAATTTAGAAAAAAAATTAATAAACATGAAAAATAGATCTTATATTTAGAACTAAAATCAACTTAACAATTAGGTTCTATACTAAGAACAAGAAAAGTGACACTTTTAGAGAGAGAACTGTGTTTGTTTGTGGGAGCATTGGGAGGATGAATCGCGAATTATATTGTCCTTCACATCTGATTGAGCTCCGCTTCTCCATGGTGGAAATCCTACTCATATTTTCATCACTTATGTCTCATACCTACTTTCTTCTCTATTTTTTTTTCATCTGGACGAAATACTTTATTTATGCATTTAAATATATTTTAAAAACCACATGAAAAGTGATTATACTACTTTGTTTATATAAGATTTTATTTTGATCATTTAACTTTAAAAAGTAAACTTTTAGTCCTTTAACACAAAACCTGTTAACAAAAAATAACGATGTTAAACTCTTAAATATTGATAAAATATTACTAAATACTAACATATTAAGTTTAATTTTCAAAACAATCATGATTGTTATAAAAAAAATCATTTAAGACTAATAATTTTGGGGTTAGATGCTTAAAAATATACTTTTTAAAATTAAAAGATGAAACTGAAAGCTTACATAAAATTAAAAGAGTAAATGAATACTTTATTTTTTATAAATAAGACGAGCAATAGTTCATGTCTCATAATTACACTTCAATTTTTTTTTTAATGCATAAAGTTGTTTTGCGTGTCTTACCATAGACAATTTTTCTACATCTTTCCTAGACTGTTTGCTTAGAGAATCCGATTGCTAAACGTAGAACAGGAAAATGTCCACTGCAGGGCTTGAAATTAAATGATTAAAAGACCCTAAGTCAACGGGCTATCGTCTATGATTTGTGAAAAATTTTAAACTTTATTAACTTACAAAAGCTAAATTTAACTTTCGCACCTGCATCACTTTCAATTTGTACATTTTTTATATTCATTGTTCTTTTTCGGCGATGCTTATATATGTGTCACGATAACATCAGCTCTTCTTCATTAAAGAGAAGGCCGCTTGTTCAAACCAAGTGATATTATGTGTTGGGGGAAAATGTACTTTTCTTTTAATTTTATATTTGTCTTTACCCCAAAACTTTTTGGGCTATAATTTTATTGCAAATCTTCTGTTTTCTTTTTCGTAGTATTTCAGGATTACTTTACTTTAACTTTTTCTGCAATTTGTCATGTTTCAGACATTTGTTCAGGGTCTGGGCAAATGTATACTACCATAAATAAGATTTTATAATTAGGATTGGAAATAACATTTTTTATATTTAGCTATCATGTTGTATATGCGTAATTTTTTCGAAAAAAATCAGGTACGCTATTTATTTTGATTGTTAAAGTGGAAGGAGTTTAGAGAGGGGGCAAAACCTAACAAAAAGCATAAAACAAAACAGTACACAAGACAAATTCTATTTGTCCGTTAGTAGTTTTGTTTACTTGCCTCAAAACATGTTTATCAAATCTTTAAGATTGTTCTACGTACTTCTTACAAACGCTACATTGAAACTCGCAACAAACATTATTTGAAATAATTGCAAGTTAATGACAATAACGGGAGATCCTAATAATAACATAATCAAACTACAATTAATGCCAAAGAATCACAATAAATGTAATAGGTTATAACTTGAACAGATAGAAAACCATGGACTTCATATAATCAGATTAGTACACAGACAATCTCACAAACATAAAATTTGTTGATGTGATAAGTTATAATTATTAATAAAAACAAATATGTTAGTTAAAGATAAGTCCCATTCATCAAATTTTAATAGTTAATACTATTCATAAATCACTGCTTTTCTACCGAAATCATGTGAACGTATATGACTACGTTAACATTAATGATTATTATTGAATTAAAATAAAATATAATAAAACAACTTTCAAATTTTCGCCATTTGAACTTATGTAATTATATTTTGCTTGACTAATCATTTAAGTAGTTAATATTATCAAGTGATACAAATTTAAATTGAAGTAGATTAATTAGATGATAAAGTAGAGTGTACGTGTGTATTAGAAAGAACCAAGTGATCGCTGCGGTTACGATAGGATATAAATGGAACAAGATGCATGTATTATATCCGTTTTATAGATAACTAATTTAAAAATAATAAAAAAAATTAGTTTAGTTAATTATTTGTATCAAATACGTGTTTACTATGTTGAAATTATCTTTTGATAAGAACTCTTATTTTGGAAAAAAATTATAAATTTAGAAGGCAAAATGGATTGATATCTTGTAATTAAAGTCAAATCTCACTCATAGTTAACTAGTTCTTATACTATCTCTGGTTCTTAATATAAGAGATAATAGGGATTATATTTGATCCTGAATATAATATCTTAATCCATTTTGTCTTCTAAATTTATAATTTATTCTCTAAAATATCTCTTTTGATCACACATATTAAAAGGGTTTCAATTCAAGGGTAGTCATGATTAAAATGATATTTTAGGGAATTCAACTCATATTTATTACAAATAACTAACTTAACAAACTTTTTTAATCTATTCAAATTAGTTAATTAACTCTTATATTAAGAAGCAGAGATAGTACTCTTCTGATTCTAAATGTGAGACTTATTTTGTGGTGTAAATTACACACAAAATATATCTTACTCAGTGGCATTTAAGAGCCAAAGAAGCATTAAAGATCGGAGGTAAAGCGTAAGAATTGCAGTAGTCAAGCCAATAACATAAAGACACGTCATAGTAAATATGTAAAACTGACTAAACTAATCCAAACTAATTTACAGAAGCTGAGTGGGGGGCTGATGATGTAATTGGCCTGACTAATGACGTGATACAGATACGCTAACAATAATAATAACGACTAAGGGAGTGCTTAATGGGATAGACTTCCTAATTAGGATGCAGAGAATCTAGGCGAAAGAAGGATTAATTAGTTACCACGCCAGATTCTTCTCCCCTTCAATCTCCCAACATGTGAAGCAAATAATTGCCCGTAATTCTACTTTTACGCCTTTCTTTAATATTATCCGGTCACCTGCCCTTCCTCACGGCCTCCCACATTTAATCCATCATTATATTTACCTAAATGCTTCTCGTGTTTGTAGATAAACAAATAATTAGTATAGTTATTCTTTCATTTTCATAATATTTTCCTTTGTACATGCAATGCACATGCCTCATTCTGTTATGGTATTTTAATCTAAATCACTTGGTACTTATAAGTTTAAAAACACTTTTCACATATCAATCTCTCCTTCTATACCTTTTTTTTTTTGCCAACGGATTTTTATTTTTAAATATAAGACTTGATTAACTTATTCAGGAGAATTATATAAATTATTAATTTTGTTAATTATTTGTTATTCTTTTCTTTTAATGAAAGTATT